AAATCCTAAACCGTAAACCCTACACGCATTCCAGAGCCGCTGAGGAGCTTCCGTTCGACAAGAATGACGACGAAATTTCCACGGATGAAAGGTTCGCAAAGCTCCGACAGGCTCCTTTGTAGCCTAAGGTTTAGGGGTTGAGGAGTTTAGGGTTTAGGGGGTTAGGGGTTTCGGGGTTTAGGGTTTGGGGGTTTAGGGGTTTAGGGTTTAGGGGTTAGGTGTTTAGGGTCTAGGGGTGTTGGGTTTAGGGGTTTAGGGTTTAAAGTCTCCTCATCGTACCTAGAGTCTAGAGGTTCCGAGTGCTAAGCTAGTGGGGTTTAGATCCCAAGCACTATACGTAACGTGTATGGTTTTTGGTACCTGAACCGGGATTTGGGTGCTTGGACCCTCAGGGTAACATGGGGGTTGGGGTGCAGGGTTTTCGGCTGTTCTTTCACACACCTGGACACTGGAAGTCCTTGCATGGATATATAACTTTGGGTTTAAATGTTTGCCAAACTACCAACTGAGCTCACGGTATGCTGTCTGACCATTGTTAGTGCGACTGACATGTCTAGAACTTTCCGAAATGAAGAGGGTGAAGGTTGCAGGAGACAAACGATTAAGATGTGTACTTTCGGCCTTATTGTAACAGCAACGCAGATGCGACGCTCTGTCTAAGACAGCCTACATAACCAACGGATGGCAATCGCTATATGCACAGTCTCCCAGCAAGGAACGAAGCAAATCTGGGTGAAGCCAACTATATACCCTAAACCCTAAACCCTAAATAATAGCTTCCATTTTCTTATCCATTATCCCTATATAACCCAATATAACCCTAATATTCTATCTACTTAAGGGGGACCCTTTTCATTTTCTGGGATCCCGCAGCTCCTGAAACTGCATGTTACATAGGGTAATATGGGGGTTATATAGGTTGATATAGGAATTGATAGGAATTATAGAGGGTACATGTTTAGGAATATTAGGGTCATATTGGGGTTATAATATGGGGATAATGGAAAAGAAAATGGAAACTACTATGGTCTTTATAGGGTTCCATTGGGGTTTGTGGTGAATGCAAGTAATATGGAACGCTCCGGATCCAATGCCCCCTCGAGCCGTTATATTATTCAAAATGCTTGCATTGCCTGCACCACCTGCTCTAGGCATGCCTTGCGTGACCCTAAACCCTAAACCGGGAGAGGCCCAAACTTTTAAAGCAACCGAGGAAGGTATCTCGTGGTCTGCTAGGATTCTGAATACGATGCCCTCTCTTCAGAGGAAGTCCAGTGCAAACAGTGAGAAGCGTAGTTTGCTTAGGGTCTAAAGTTCTAAAGGTTTAGGGTTTAGGGTTTAGGGTTTAGGGTTTAGGGTGGCACACTCCAAGAGAGACGTGAGCCCTTGCAAGACCTCAGCCCTCAAAGCTTCGATTTCAAGATGTCTTTCTCCATGCTTGAAACGTGCATGCGCCGTACCCTTGACTTCGAGGCATCCCACGATAATCCATATCAGCTCTACTTGCCAAAGCCTAAGAAACGTCCAACCCTAAAGCAAAAGTCTGACAATCTCAGACAATGCTGACTCCTACCATCTAAGCCCGAAAGCCGAAATCCTAGACCCTGATCCCCACCAAAGCTGGTAGCATGGCCGAACTCCTAAACCCCAAACCCTAAAGCCTATAAACTCCAAATCCTAGACTCTGAACCCTAAATCCTAAACCCTAAATCCCAAACCTTAAACCCTAATAAACTCTAAACCATGCTCTTTTCTGCACAGAACCTTCGCCTGGTGGGTTTGGTGGCCTCCATTGACCCAGACCGCGATGGCGTGAAGGCTTGGGGTCAGACGCCTGTTTCTGGCATATTCTGGGTTGCTGTTAAAGAACTTAGATCCAAGTACCCAATAATTAGGTACTTGGTTTTAGGGTACTAGTAATCATAGTATAGGTTTTGGATAAGTATATGATTATGAAGTACTTGGACCGTTTGGGTTCTAGAGATTTTGAGGTACAACTGCATCCAGAGACACGGGACTCAGCGCAAGGGCAGGTTCGAAGAGTTTGAGCATACCCGACCACGTGCTATCATGTTGTGAGCCACATAGATGTAGACCCGAAGCCTTAATAGGCGGTGCCATAGTGCTGCTAAGGGGTATACACACCTGATCTTCAGGGTTTAATGTAAACCCCCAATTAATGAACCACCTCCTTTTATAAGGGCCTTAATATTAGCGTCCCTATTATAATCCCTATTAGGGGGAGAGGGGTTTATTAATCAGGGGTCTGGGTTAGGGTCTTGGGTTGGTCCAAAGAACAACGTGCAGTAGCGCTCATGCTTTAAGCGCAACTCGCCGAATCAAAGGACGACAGGTATACGGGGCATTTGTCTACATGCCCTATGATATGGGTCCCTGTACTTGAGTCCTATCATACGGGTCCCTGCTGTATATCAATTTTTCCATTTTGGGACAAGTGTTGTTGGTAGAAATTCCATGCCATTCTCCTTGATCTGGCCCAACCTGCACATGGTTTAGGATATAGCTTACTGGTGAGCACTAGGAAAAGAGGAATATTATCCCTATGTCATCCCTACATATAATATCTTCCCCTTCGGGACCAAGGACCCAAGTAATTGGGCATTAGGGCCCAAATACTATATTTTTAATGGTATCCGGACCCTAAGATCCGATTCTTTGTGTCATTGGACCCTTAGGCTTCCCTTACTCTTTACTAACCCCCAGACCCCTATTATAATCCCTATTCAGGGGAAGGGGTTTATAACCCTTAACCCTAAACCCTTTTTCTTTACTAGCCCCCAGTAGGGTAGGATTATCTAACACTCAGGGTCTAGACAAGGCACGCATCCAATCCCTGGAGGTCCAAGTACCGTCCTGAGCCCTAAGCGTCTTCCTACGAAGTGTATACACCGTCACTAAAGCTGTTATTACCATAACTACTACTATAACTATCACTATAACTCTGACTAAAACTATATTATTTCGATAACGATTGCTGTAATTATTAATTACTATTACTGTTACCATTAGCTATTACTATTATTAGTGCCATTATTTCTAGTTTGATTATCATTATTATGGTTATGACTATGGCCTGCGGTTTGAATCAAGAGCCCTTGCAACATCCTCTGAATCTGCAACCCCGTAGCAAGTTAGGCTTGTAAACCTTCAGTCTTCCGTGAAGTGGCCTTTCAACTAATGCCTTTAAACTTAGACCTCAGAACCGCACACCTTAAATTCTAAACCCCAAGTCTCAACGTCTTGAACCTCAAAACCCGACCTCAAACCTCAACAGGACTCTGTGCTGGCAGCACGAGGAGCCGGCATCCGCGTCGTCCCCTGACTGTTGAGTGCAAGCAATCCCGCAAGCTCTAATTGCAATGCAATGCCTAAAGTCCATATCTCTTGCCTGTTTTGGACTGTATGGGGCCCTAGGAGTAGAGAGAGGAAGAGGAAGAGTTAGACTCATATACTGGTGCTATCATCGTATCATCTCAAAGACTCCCAAAACTGGGAATAATGATAGCGCTGAGCATGACAGGAGGGATACGTCGCCATGCACGGATTTGAGAGTCTCAATTGGCGGACCCAAAAGGGATGATATTTTCGCACTTACGGACCTTCAACTACAATGCGCCTCAACAATGGGCAACGAGGAATTCATAGTTGCTGGGAATCCCGAAATAGTGCTCACCTGCAAGCCGGCAATGTCAAAAAGATTTGGGATACACTGAGGGTGTACATAGGGCTCCCTTTGGTAGTTTAGAAAAGTCCCTATTGTACTCCTTCATCGAAACCCATATCCATGAATGAGCTGGGAAATATGGAGTGTAGCTCATATGAAGCCCTGCTGCGCGTCCTTATTGGCAGGAGCTTCTTGTGTCCGGGTGTATAGATAGACGTTTTTGTTTTTTGACGAATTGTCATAATCATACCATTTTAGTCGGCTTGTCGTCGCCGGTAGTTCTCGTCTTCATGTGTTTCCGCATGTTCTTCTCCTTCTTCACCATCACAGCCAGGTAGCACAGCTAGAGAGATTTTAGGTGGAGATGGGCTCGAACAGGAAGCTCTCAGCCGTGCCATCATCCGAAGGTCCCAAGTCAGACGGGGTTAAAGATTGCATGCCCTGCCAGGTAGAAGGTTGGGTCATTGCTTGACATGCTCTCAACATTTCAGGATGCCTGAATGAGGAATCTAAAGCTATACTTGTACATGTCCCCAGTGTCCATTTCATTGTCCATTTCTTTTGGATTGGATTCTCCAGCATCGGTGATTATTTAGGCCTCTTCACCCTAATATCATCCCAATGAGGAAGGAGTGAAATGTTAGCATGCTACGATTATCACATGAATCTGGAAGGGTCCTTACCCCAGGAGTCGGGGTCACCAAAGTCCCTTCATGTCAAGGATTCCCCCAGGTGGTAGTTACCCGGTGGGATTCCCCATTTAAGGCGCGTATATACGGCTCGTACAAGGATACAGGGGCTACATGAGGTTTACACATGCCTCCTTTAAGGGTACCTACATGATAACTACCCACCTGTTGGTTTTCTTGATTATGACTCAGAGAGCACAGAGGCTTCCTTCGTGCCAGGTACCCTCAGAATGGCAACCGGTAGCTGATATAGTCCCCCTTAAGTAGATAGCATATGGCTTTAGGTATATTTTAATCAGATCCCCATATGCCCCATATTCTATCTACTTAAGGGGGACTATAACCCCTAAACCCCAAAGCCTAAATAGTAGTTTCCATTTTCTTTGCCATTATCCCCATATAATCCCTATATAACCCTTTTTAAAGGGACCCATATTCTATCTACTTAAGGGGGACTATAGGGAAAGGTTTGTTGACCTCTTGGGGGTTGCTGTCTTGGAGCACGCTTCACAAGGCAAAGTGCTTGACTTGGAGTGCACTTGAACTTACCTGGACCCCAGAAGTATGTAAAATAATTGCCTTTTGGGCTATTATTAGGGGTTTTAGGGCTATTATTTGACATACTTTTGGGATTTAGGTACTGGACATCCCGAACCTCCATCGTAGCTTCTTTTTGAAGTGTCAAAAATCTTCCGTTGGTGAAACAACAGAACTCCAACAGGAACTTCACAGGCGCTGTTATATAGACATCATCCAAGGTCATGATCACTGGCGACTACCTGAAGATCCTCGGTAGAGTTGCCATGGGGGTCTGTCTTCACTCTGCGGGTTGTTAGTTTTGGGTTTTGTAGGAACTTTCCTTCAGCGTTGTCTCTGATAGGCCGTCAGCGTCACCGCTTCATAGTTCATATATACACACATGTATGTATGTGTATATATATATATATAGAGAGGCTTTCTATTTTGGGCCACCTCTGCCAATGCTTAATAGTTTTGAGACTGGAGAGGTTAGGGATACTGAGTCAAGGAGGCCTGCCCCAAGAGCTCTTCATGTCTTTTATGATGCGAGGGCACCAAGATGAGGTCACCACTTACCACCTCCAGTGAAAAAGGGTGGTTGACAGAGAGAACAGTTAGCTTGCAAGAGAGTTGTTTGGTGTATTGTCTTGATGTCTTGAGAAACCCTGTGCTTCGACAGATTTCTGTCATGTACTGGTTTTACTCGGAGATCTGGTCAGTACCGGCAGAGCAACGGTAGAATTTCAGAGTTGAAGGCATAAAATCTGGTATTACGATAGCTTCCAAGTCCATACTCCTTTTGCCTTACACATTTATCTTATGTGAGTGAAACCCTAAACCCTGAACCCTAAACCCTAAACCCCTAAACCCTAAACCCCTAAACCCTAATCCCTAAACTGAGAGCTTTGTCTAGTTGTTCCGTTGACTTAGTTCTTCACACCCAAGTCGCTTATCGTCAACATGAACCCTCAGATTCCTCGCCTGCTGCTCCCCTCCCGGTCTCAAGAATTAGAGCCAAATCCCTGAATCCAGTCTCTAGTCCCCCAGTCCTTCAAGCCTACCTGAACACCAAAAGTATGTGAAATAATGGCCTTGATGGCTATTATTACGGGTTTAGGGCCATTATTTTACCTACTTTTGGGGCCCAGGTAGATTTTACACCCTAAGCTCCTCAACCCTAAGCCTGAAATCAGAAAACTGCCGTCCCAAACCCTGAACTGGTCAAACTTACATGCTAAAACCAGAACCACAAACCCTAAACCTACTGTGGGGATCCAGTTCTCCATTCCGTGCCACTGCTATAAGTAAATCTTTTTCAGACCTAAACCCGCAACACCTCAAACCTGAAAACCTTCATCCCTGAACCCCTGAAACTCTAAACACCCTATAACCGGTTTAGGGTTTAGGGTTTAGGGTTATAACCCTTCACAATCCCTGAACCCCCAAATCCCGAATCCAAGAACCCTGAACCCTAACCCCTCCCCACCCTAAAACCTAAACTCTAGACCCCACACAATACATCCTAAAGCCTAAATCACTAAACCCTAAACCCTAAACCCTATATAGGTAACCCCCAAATTTTCCTAGGACGGCCATCGCCATCGCCAAGAATGTGAGCATCCTCCAGCCTGAGGATGACGAGGTTCCTCTACCCAGGGCTTAGGGGTTTTGGGGATTTAGG